TGTCTTGGGGTCATGCTTGGCAGTGCTCAGGGGTCACTCTCAGGAGCCATGCAATGGCTGGGGATCAAACCTGGAGACCCGATGACATACAAAGAGCACACTCCAGTCCTCTGAGGCCAAACTGTAATTCTTACTACTGTTAAGTGGTTGGGGGAGTCACACTTTGGAGAGTTCGGGGAGTCCCTTTGGTGCCTTGCATGAACAAGGTATGAACTCACCCTCTTAAGCTGTCTGGCAATAATTCTCACATCTTTACTAATATACTTTACTTGTTCCAATATTGTTCTGGTTTCCTATAGCGACCTAAACAAATTTAATACAGATTACATCAAGTCTTTAGTAATTCTAATGTCTGTGCTTCCTCCAGGACAATTCTGTTCATTTCTCAGCTGTAAAATTTATATTTCATGTTTCTTTGCATGCTTCACTTGGTTGTTTTAAAAAAAATTCTTCAAGCAAAAGTGTGAAGAAGGAAAATAGATAAAAGGAAATAAAGGGAGTTAGGAAGAAGGAGTACTGAGGAAAAGAGAAGGAGAAAGAGGAGGGAGGGAGGGAAAGAAGAAGGGAGGAAGGAAGGAAGGATGAAGTGAGGAAGGGAGGAAGGAAGAGGAAGGGAGGTAAAGAGAGAGGAAGGAAGAAGGGAAAGAGGAAGGAGGGAGGGAAAGAGGGAGGAGAGATGGAGGGAGAAGTTGAGGGCAAGCAAAGTGCCTATTCTTTACAGCTTGACTCTCCACAGTTGGGCAATCCTACCTCAATTAACCTAGTCATTTATAACTTCACCTTGTAAACATTTATTTTCTGTTTACACTAGGTCTACAGATGAGTTAGAAATGAAAGTTTGGGATATTCTCAGGCATTTGCTAGGAGTCTTACCTTGGGTATCACATCTCTCTTGGTATTCTTGAGTTCTTTTGTATCAATGGCGATTTGATGTGTCTAGGTGAATCTCTAGGTGAATCCTACTTGGAAGTAAGATTTTTCAATAGAAAAGTGTTAGCCATTATTCCTGCTCATATAGCACAGCGGTAGGGCATTTGCCTTGAACGCAGCCAACATGGCCAACCTGAGTTCGATTCCTCCACCCCTCTTGGAGAGCCCGGCAAGGTACCGAGAGTATCTTGCCCCACACGGCAGAGCCTGGCAAGCTACCCGTGACGTACTCGATATGCCAAACACAGTAACAACAAGTCTCATGATGGAGACATTACTGGGCCTGCTCGAGCAAATCGATGAACAACGGGAGGACCGTGACCGTGACCGTGATTCTCTCCACTCGTTCTCTTCTCAGACACCTACCATATGCATGTGTGTTTGATAGTTCCCCACATGACTCTGCTCATTTTATCTTCCTGTTTCTCACATTGATCAATTTCCATTTCAGTGCATCAATCCTCTCTTCCCCTAACTCAGACCTGTGACTGACCTTGTCTAGTAAATTTTTTTATTGTTGAGTTACTATACTTCTCAACCAGAGAACTTCACTTTGGCTCTTTTAAATAGTTTTTCAATCTCTATTAACATTCTCTACTTGATAAGACATTGCTTTCATATTTCCCTTTAGGGAAATCTTAAATGTGATTTCCTGGAGTCTAAGGATGCCTTGTCAGCTTAAAGTCCCTGACTTGTATGTTCATTTTGGCATTGTTTACAATAGCCAGAATCTGGAAAAAACCTGAGTGCCCGAGGACAGATGACTGGTTAAAGAAAATCTGGTACATCTACACAATGGAGTACTATGCATCTGTTAGAAAAGATGTTGCACATAGCACTGTCTACCGTAGCACTGTCCTCCCACTGTTCATTGACTTGCTTGAGTGGGAACCAGTAACATCTCCATTGTGAGACTTGTTACTGTTTTTGGCATATTGAATACACCATGGGGAGCTTGCCAGGCTTTGCTGTGTGGGAAGGATACTCTTGATAGCTTGCCGGGCTCTCCAAGAGGGATGGAGGAATCAAACCCAGGTTGGCTGTATGCAAGGCAAATGCCCTGCTCGCTGTGCTATTGCTCCGCCCTAGAAAAGATGAAGTCATGAAATTTTCACATAAGTGGATCAACATGGAAAGTATCAAGCTAAGTGAAATAAGTCAGAAAGAGACAAGCCTACAGCAAGCATCATCCTCAATGGGGAAAAACTGAGAGCCTTCCCCCTAAGATCAGAGGTGAGATAAGGATGCCCACTCTCTCCACTGCTGTTCAATATAGTACTGGAAGTACTTGCAATAGCAATTAGGCAAGAAAAAGATATTAAGGGCATCCAGGTAGGAAAGGAAGAAATCATGTTCTCACTATTCGCAGATGATATGATACTATACTTAGAGAATCCTAAAACCTCTACCAAGAAACTCCTAGAAACAATAGACTTGTACAGTAAAGTGGCAGGCTATAAAATCAATACACAAAAGTCCATGGCTTTCCTATATGCAAATAGTGAGAGAGAAGAAAGTGAGATGAAAAAAAAATCCCATTCACAATTGTACCCCAGAAAATCAACTACCTAGTAATTAGCTTAACTAAGGAAATAATGGACCTCTCCAAAGAAAACTACAAAACGCTACTTCAGGAAATAAAAGAGGACATGAGAAAATGAAAATATATCCACTGCTCATGGATCGGGAGAATTAACATTGTCAAAATAGCAATACTTCCCAAAGCATTGTACAAATTCAATGTGATTCCTACAACGATACCCATGACATTCTTCAAAGAAATGGAGCAAACACTCCTGAATTCATATAGAACAATAAACCCTCAAAAATAGCTAACGCAATTCTTGGAAAAAAGAAAATAGGAGGAATAAACCCCCTTTAACTTCAAACTCTACTACAAAGCAGTAATAATTAAAAACAGAATGGTACTGGAACAAAGGCAGAGCTGCAGACCAATGGAACAGGGTTGAATATACTGACATCTCCCCTCAAACATATAATCATCTAATCTTTGATAAGGGAGAAGAAATGTGAAATGGAGCAAGGAAAGCCTCTTTAACAAATTGTGCTGGCAAAACTGGACAGCTACATGCAAAAAAATGGACTCAGATCTCTGACTAACACCTTGTACAAAAGTAAGATCAAAATGGATTAAAGACCTCAACATCAGACTGGAATCCATAAGGTACATTGAAGACAAGGTTAGCAAAACCCTCCATGACATTAAAGCTAACGGTATCTTCAAAGATGTCATGCCACTGGCCAAGCAAGTGAAAACAGAGATAGACAAATGGGACTATCTTAAACTAAGACGCTTCTGCACCTCAAAAGAAACAGTGACCAAAATACAGAGACAGTCTACAGAATGGGAAAGGATATTTGCCCAATACTCATCTAACAAGGGGTTGATGTCAAGGATCTACAAAGTACTGGTTGAACTCCACAAGAAGAAAACATCCAACCCCATTAAAAAATGGGGAGATTAAATGAACAGAAACTTTCTCAAAGAAGAAATCCGAATGGCAAAAAGGCACATGAGAAAATGCTCTACATCATTCATCACCAGGGAGATGCAGATCAAAACAACAATGAGTTATCATTTTACACCACAGAAACTGGCCCACATCCAAAAGAAAAAAGCAACCAATGTTGGTGTGGATGTGGCAAGAAAGGGACCCTCCTTCATTGCTTGTGGGAATGCTGACTGGTTCAGCCCTTTTGGAAAACAGTATGGACAATTCTCAAAAAATTAGAAATTGAGCTCCCATTTGACCCAGGAATACCACTCCTGGGAATATATCCCAGAGAAGCAAAAAAGTATAGTCGAAGTGACATCTGCACTTATTTGTTCATTGCAGCACTGTTTCCAATAGCCAGAATCTGGAAAAAACCTGAGTGCCCAAGAACAGATGACTGGTTAAAGAAACTTTGGTACATCTACACAATGGAGTACTATGTAGCTGTGTAGCTGTTAGAAAAGATGAAATCATGAAATTTACATACATGTGGTACTACATGGAAAGTACCATGCTACGTGAAATGAGTCAGAAAGAGAGGGACAGACATAGAAAGATTGCATTCATCTGGGGAACATAAAGCGACAAAATAAGAGATTAACACCCAAGAATAACCGAGATAAGAACCAGCAGGTTTACTCCATGGCTTGGAGGCCAGCAGTACATGCTAGGGGAAAAGGCAGCTCAGATAGAGAAGGGAGCACCAAGTAAAGGATGCTGGGATGATCCTCCCAGGATGAGAGATGCACTCTGAAAGTAGACTATAGACTGAACATGATTGCACTCAATGCCTCTTTTGCAAACTACAGCACCCAAAAGGAGAGAGAGAACAAAAGGGAATGCCCTGCCACAGAGGCAGGGTGGGATGGGGGGTGGGAGGGATACTGGGATCAGTTGTGGTGGAGAATGGGCACTGGTGGAGGGATGGGTACTCAATCATTGTATAACTGAAACCCAAGCACAAAAATTTGTACATCTACAACTGTACCTCATGGTGTTTCACTAATAAAAATTTAAAAAAAAAAGAGAGGGACAGACATAGAAAGATTGCATTCATTTGTGGAATATAAAGTAATAGAAAGGGAGATTAACACCCAAGAATAGTAGAGATAAGCACCAGGAGGATTGTGCCACAGCTTGGAAGCTGGCCTCACACCCTGGGGGAAAAGGCAGATCAGATAGAGAAGGAATCACCACGTAAAGGGTGCTTGGAGGGCCCACTCGGGATGGGAGATGCATGCTGAAAATAGACTAAGGACCGAACACGATGGTCATTTAATACCTCTACTGCAAACCACAACACCAAAAGGAGAGAGGAAAGCAAAAGGGAATGCCTTGCCACAGAGGTGGGGGGATGTGGTGGGGGTGGTAAGAGGGATACTGGGAACATTGGTGGTGGAGAATGGGCACTGTGGAGGGATGAGTACTCGATCATTGTATGACTGAAATGTAACCACGAAAGTTTGTAAGTCTGTAACTGTGCCTCATGGTGATTCATTAAAAAATAAATAGTTAATTGAAAAAAAAAAGTACTGCTCTTTTCCAACTGGAACCATGGAGGGCGCAGAAGAGAAGAAAAAGAAGGTCCCTGCTAAGCCGGCAGCAGCGGCTGCCGTAGAGAAGAAAAAGAAGCTTCCTGATGTGCCAGAAACCCTGAAGAAAAGGCGAAAGAATTTTGCAGAGCTGAAGATCAAGCACCTGCGAAAGATGTTTGCTCAAAAGATGCTTCGAAAGGCGAGGAGGAAGCTGATCTATGAAAAAGCTAAGCTTTATCACAAGGAGTATAGGCAGATGTACAGGACAAAGATTCACATGGCTAGGATGGCGAGGAAAGCTGGCAACTTTTACGTCCCTGCGGAACCCAAATTGGCTTTTGTCATCAGAATCAGAGGTACCAATGGGGTGAGCCCCAAGGTCTGAAAGGTGCTACAGCTTCTCCGCCTTCACCAGATCTTCAATGGTACCTTTGTTAAACTCAACAAGGCTTTGATTAACATGCTGAGGATCGTGGAACCCTATATTGCATGGGGGTACCCAAACCTGAAGTCAGTAAATGAATTGATCTACAAGCGTGGTTATGGCAAAATCCACAAGAAGCGAATTGCCCTAACGGATAACGCACTGATCGCGCGAACTCTGGGTAAATACGGCATCGTCTGCATGGAGGATCTGATTCATGAGATCTATACTGGTGGAAAGCGCTTCAAAGAGGCGAACAACTTCCTCTGGCCCTTCAAATTATCTTCTCCCCGGAGTGGAATGAAGAAAAAGACCACCCATGTTGTAGAAGGTGGAGATGCTGGCAACAGAGAAGACCAGATCAACCTGCTGATTAGACGGATGAACTAAGGTATCTACCATATTTTTATTATCTGGTCAGTTAATAAATGATTGCTTTCAAAAAAAAAGTACCTGACTTGCAAGTGTTAGGCCCTGACTTTGATCCTGGCTGCTGCCTACATGAGCCGTTCATGGTCACAGCAACTGTGCCCTGTCATCTCTTAGAGCCAGGCATGTGTGAGCACTGCACACTGCAACCGGAATGTGTTCAAGGACAACTAAACAAACAAGATCTCTGGCCAGCATGAGTGCAACTCAAGTGTGAAGTGTGTGTCCCTCATGAGGACCACAAACAGGTGCATGGTCTTTAGTCCCTGTAACAACAAAGGCAAGGGAAGGGGGAACACAGAAAACCTTTGAAAGGGTGATTCCCAAAGACGTGCTTTGTTGTTGTTTTGGGGGTCATACCCAGCAATGTGCAGGGATTACACCTGGCTTTGTATTCAGGAATTACTCCTGACAGTGTTCAGGGACCACATGGGATGTCAGGCAAGAGCCCTACACACTGGACCATCCCTCTGGCCCCTATTTTTATTTATTAAATCAGTACTTTTAGTACTTTTTTCACATTCCTTCTCCTTCCCTTTTCCTCCCTTGTTGTAATGACTAGGAGTCTCTCTGTCTCTCTCTCTCTCTGTCTCTCTCTCTCTCTCTCTCTCTCTCACACACACACACACACACACACACACACACACACACACCCCTGCATGTGATGCTGGCACATTTTAAGCTGTATTATCATGGCCTACAACCATGAGTGCTTGCACCCTCGGCCCTAGAGCTCACCAAGCTTTACACTCCTCTAGTTTCGGTTCTTGCACATCTGCTCCCAGGGGTCACACTTCCCAGCTGTGGCATTTGCACACTCACCAGCGGTCACAGCTGTTTTCTGTGGTGCTCACACACACCTCACTGTGATATAGACTGATAACTCTCACAGCACCAGGCGCAGAGCTGCCAGAATTGTGGTTGGCACCTGGGAGATGCTCCAGGTTTGAATTCATGACCATACACATTTGCAAGGCAAGCTCTCAAGACTATTCTATAATACAGAGTTATTTCCACAGAAGCTGCTGCTGTGTTTTTGTGCCACACTTTGCAGTGCTCAGGGGACCATTTGGGGTGCCAATGATCAGGTCAGCACATGCAACGCAGGCATCCTACCTGCTCTATGATCACTCCGACACCAGTCTCAAATCCTTGTCTAGTAAGACCAGCACATGGGCTTCCTCAAGGACTGCTGCTATAGACTAATTTTTCTTGGAGTCTTATGTTGTTTCATGTGTCAAAACTTTTTTGGTTGAAAAGTGGACATTTAAAATCATGTAATACAGGAATTCTGAAAAATCAGATTCCAACTCCTTATGGTTTTGTTACTGCTATCATCTTTTTGAGGTCTTGGATTAATGCGTTCTTTGTCATGTGTGGTCACTCAAGTCTGCTCAACTTAATGGTTTGCTAAAAACAAGACAGGATTTCCTTAAATGCCTGGAATCAATACTTCCCCTATCTCTGTCAAGACAATCTGTGTGTTGGCGCACGTGTTGACTGATCAGGCAGTTTTCAACTCAGTCCTAGTCTTCATTTCCTGCTTTAATAGAGCCTTGGGTAAGCCAGAAGAGATCAGACACTTCTCAGGTCTTTCCTGCTACCTTCACTGGGATCCTAAGAGTTTCAAACATTTCTCAGAGTTCAGTGGTTACCAGAAACTTCTAAGTATGCTACTTTCTTCACAGCTACTGTAAAGTAACATTATTTTACAACTGTAGTTGAAGCACAGAGAAGTCATTTGTCTTGCCCAACTTCTCAGACCTAATAAAGTTGGAGAGCTAAATAAATCTTGAACCCAAGCCTGTTTTACCCTGATTCTGCATCTTTTCCACAACATAAAACTTCCCCAAGGCCTACAAACCACAGTTCCCTGTGGCAAGCAAATTTGGTGACATGCCATAAGAATATTTAGATTATTCAGCTCATCCCTTTCCTATACCTCAATCTCAAGTTCTGTACCAAACAACACAGATATTCTGAGCTGTCACTGTCACTGTCCTCCCGTTGTTCATCGATTTGCTCAAGCGGGTCCAGTAACGTCTCCATTGGAGACTTTGTTGTTATTGTGTTTGGCATATCGAATACATCACAGGTAGCTTGCCAGACTCTGCCATGCGAGCAAGATACTCTCGGTAGCTTGCCGGGCTCTCTGAGAGGGGCGGAGGAATCGAACCCGGCTTGGCTGGGCTGGCTGCTCACAAGGCAAACACCCCACCGCTGTGCTATCACTCCAAATTCTGGAATGTACACGTGGGATGCACTGCCCAACCAGCACGCATGCTGAGATGACACATTGAACCCTGCACATTTTAGGCAGTGACCAGAGTATTCCACCACCTCTCACACTATATTATGCTGACCCTACACTTTCATGCCCAAGACATATATATTTTTTACCACAAAAAAATATGGGGGGGCACTAATGTTTCTATTGATTAATTTTTAAACAGAACACAGGTAAAGTACAAGAACTAATAAGCAGCCTTACGAATTTTTTTTCCTTTTGGGTCACACCTGGCAATGCACAGGGCTCTGCACTCAGGAATTACTCCTGGTGGTGCTCAGGGGACAATATGGGATGCTGGGAATCAAACCCAGATCAGCTGCATGCAAGGCAAATGCCCCACCCAATGTGCTATAGTTAGAGCCCGTCTTATTGATCGTTACAAAAACAACATTCTCTTAACAATCAGTATCAGAGCAACCATAGAAGCCAAGGAGAAATTTCTGGTTACCCTGAAAGTCCTTCATATGCACTATCCCATCATAAGTCTGCCCTTTCCTCAGTGTGAGCACTATCCTGATTTGTGTAGTATTCCCTTCATGTATTTCTCTGAGGAGTCCCACTTATACACCCCTAGAACTAATATTTAGTCTTTTTTTAAAAAAATTAAAATAGGTTAATTTGAGGAGTTGGAGCAATCGGACTAGTGGGTGGGGCATTTACCTTGCACGCAGTTGACCCACATTTGATCCCTGCCACCTCATATGGTCCCTCAAGCTCTCCAGGAGTTATCCCTGAGGTCAGAGCCAAGAGTAAGTCCTGAGCATTACTGGGTGTGGCCAAAGCAAATAAAATTAATAAAACTTAATACAATGGGTTAACTGGATATGCCTCTTTTTTTTAATTTTAATTTATTTATTTTTTAAAATTTTTATTAGTGAAACACCATGAGGTACAGTTGTAGACTTACAAATTTTTGTGCTTGGGTTTCAGTTATACAATGATCGAGTACCCATCCCTCCACCAGTGCCCATTCTCCACCACCAATGATCCCAGTATCCCTCCCACCCCCCATCCCCCCCAGCCCACCCTGCCTCTGTGGCAGGGCGTTCGCTTTTGTTTTCTCTCTCCTTTTGGGTGCTGTAGTTTGCAAAAGAGGCATTGAGTGGCAATCATGTTCCGTCTATAGTCTACTTTCAACATGCATCTCCCATCCTGGGAGGATCCTCCCAGCATCCTTTACTTGGTGCTCCCTTCTCTATCTGAGCTGCCTTTTCCCCTAGCATGTGCTGCTGGCCTCCAAGCCATGGAGTAAACCTGCTGGTACTTATCTCAGCTATTCTGGGTGTTAGTCTCCTATTTTGTCACTTTATGTTCCCCAGAGGAATGTAATCTTTCTATATCTGTCTGTACCTAGGAATCAGCCTAACTAAGGAAGTAAAAGACCTGTACAAAGAAAACTACAAAACGCTACTTTGGGAAATAAAAGAGGACACGAGAAAATAGAAAGATATCCCCTGCTCATGGATTGGGAGAATTAACATTGTCAAAATGGCAATACTACCCAAAGCATTGTACAAATTCAATGTGATCCCTATAACGATACCCATGACATTCTTCATGATATCCATGATATCCATTCAAAGAAATGGAGCAAATACTCCTGAAATTTGTATGGAACAATAAGTCCCCACGAATAGCTAAAGCAATTCTTGGGGGGAAAAATGGGAGGAATCAACCTCCCTAACTTCAAACTCAACTGCAAAGCAATAATAATTAAAAGATATGCCTCTTAAGCTTCCTCTTCTTCTTTTTCTTTCCTTACATGCATCTTTTGAAGGACCCATACAAAAAAGTTTTTGTAAACTTTGCCAGCCTGGCCCATGTGAACGGTGTAGTCTTAGCACCAATCAGTGTGTTCCTCTTCCTGGAAACAAGTAGCTGGGTCCAAGGGCCTGAATGGGTATAGGTTTGACCCGGTTGGCAAGATCACGGATTCTGTTCTTCCACAGGAGGGGCATCATTTCGGCCATCTCTCCAGTAGGAGCGATGACAGCAGGAGTCAACTGATGCTCAGGGCCTGAATCCTTCATTCACTGGGGCAGAAAATCGGTGATTTACTACATGAACTTCTTGTTCTTTTCTTAGAAGGATTGAATCTATAAAGGAATGCTTTCCCTTATCTAAAGCATGGATATCTGGTAATATAAATCATATAAGAAAGGTCCTCAATGCTTGTTCTTGTCCTTTAACTTCTGTCCCTTATGAGCCTCCAAGATTTTCTGGTGTTACTAGAAGATTGTGATTATTTTGATGAGCTCTGATCCACTGAAATTATTATTCTTACTAAAGTTCAAATTAAGTGTGACTTCTTAGCCAACACGAGCTTCTTTTAAAAAATGTCTTGAGTCACAACCTGACCACAGTAGAGTTTGATGGTTTCCTGGCTTTGAAACGGATATTCCTAGCTCATCTAATGTATTTTCTCCCCTAGAATTTCTAGGTTCTTTTAGAGAGCAACAGTATTTTTCATATCAGCATTGAGGATGCTTAATTGTTTAATGATCAATATTCTATGTCCTCAGTAACTAAAAATAAAATATCTAATTTATGTTGAAATTTCTGACTTAAATGCTAATCTATAGAGTTCTTAGAGAACTTCACCCAAATTAGATATTTTACCTTTCTTCCGAGCATATGTTCCCAAGAACACAAAGGATAATGGAATTAAACTCTAATTGCTTTCTCCACACACACAACAGTACCAGAATATTTCTAATACTATCACCTTAATTTTCTTTCATTTTTGTTTAAGCAAGGTAGTTTTTAATTGAAACTTATTCAGAAAGATGTAAGGGGAGAGAAAGAGAGAAGTATGTGTTTGAGAGAGAATACAGGCTTCTCCAGAGTGGAAACAGCAAGGAAAGAAACACAGAGGGGCTGGAGCTATAGCACAGTGGGTAGTGTGTTTGCCTTGTACGCAGCTGACCCAGGTTCGATTCCCAGCATTTCATATGGTCCCCCAAGCACCGCCAGGAGTAATTCCTGAGTGCATGGGTCAGGAGTAACCCCTGTGCAAAACTGGGGTTAAACAAAAAGCAAAAAAAAAAAAAAGACAAAGAAACAGAGACCAGCAAATGAGATAAGGGTTAAAGGAAGAATATGAGCGTGAAGAGCAATCCTTGATTTCTTAAAATGCTTAAAAAATCTTTTGTACTGACTCTTCCCATTCTCCTGCAGTTTTTAGTTATAATATTTATATATGCATATATGTGCATGTATACACACACACACACATATGGGGACCATATGGGATGCTGGGGATTGAAGCCAAATTGGTCGTATGCAAGTTAAATGCTCTAACCACTGTACTATTGCCCCTGCCCCTATACTGTATTTTAATTGTCAGGGAATATTTTCATTATATGCTCTATTCTATCCTTGTTAATCCATGTTGATGTTCTTTAGTCATGTTAGTTGAACTAAAACTTACTCTTTACTAGATTCCTAAGGAAAAATTCATAAAAAAACTTTTAGGTTTTTCATTTTTTTAACATTGATGACCATTTTTCTCTGCTCCTAACAATTGAAAGTCAGTTTTGCTCGATCTAGAATTCTTAGTTTATATTTTATTCCCTAAAATATCTTAAATGTCATTCCACTTTCTTTTAAGCATAAAATATAACTATAGCAAAATCTGGTATTCTGCACCCCTTACCCCTCCATAAGCCATTTTGCTAGATCAGGATCTCCCAAACTTTTTTGACTCTCCCTACTCGGTGTTCCCTGGGAATATACCTTAAGCAAAGAAACAGAAAGTACCCCACAATGTTACTACTGCCTGGGTCATTCCAGAACACCCCTGCAGCAGCGGCAGTGTGTGTGTGTGTGTGTGTGTGTGTGTGTGTGTGTGTGTGTGTGTGATATCATCCATTTTGGGAAACAATTTTGGCCTAAATTATTAATATTCTCTCCACCCCTCTTTGAGGATCAGTTCTTTTAACTAGTATGTCGGTGTCTGTTGTTCTGAGTCTGCATTATCTGGTATGCAATGTGTGTACTTTCAATATAACTTCAATCATTTTATTTCCAGCTCACTTTTTTCAATGAAAGTCATAGCCAGATGTGCTGCTGTGAGAACCCCCCAGCATTTCTCTACCTAATGGTATGGGTGTTCGTGGGGTCTTACAGGAATGAGGGAGGGTGGGAGGTACCAATGCCACCCAGAGGTGGTTGGAGGATCATAGAATACTGGGGATTAGCCTCAGGGCATGGCACCCAATAGGTAAGCGATCACCACTGTCTCCTAAGCCTGCTGAATGGTTTTCTTTTTGGTAGGGTGGGAGGGTCCTTGAGCAGTGCTCAGGAGGCCCAGGGGTCCCTCTCTCCTCAGTACAGTACAAAAACACTCTACTGTCTTTCATTGATTATAGACTTCAGTGTTTGTTGGTTCCTTTGTTTTTATTTAAAATTCAGGGACTCAGATGATTCTTGTTTGGATCTTTTCACTCTATTTTCAATACATTCTTTTCTCTTAATCCTTTTTTACTGCATCTAAAAAAAGTATAAACTTAGTTGGGTCAGAGCAGGTTGGATATTTGCCTTGTATGCGGTCAACCCGATATCCCCACATGGTCCCTTGAGCACTGCCAGGAGTGATTCCTGAGTGCAGAGGCAGTTTTCTTATACTTTTAGAAGGTGTGTATTTTAAAAAACTTTATTTAGCCTCCTTTTCTTTTTTTATATCATGCTTTCATTTTTTCCTATTTTGGTTCTATTTCCCCCCTCCAAATTTATCTAATGCTTCCCTTCCCTCATCTCCAGATCTGCAACCTGCTCATTTCTGTGATTGTTCTTGTTTGCATATCACAATTGGTGGTGCTCAGGGGACCATACGTGGTGCCAGAAATAAACCAGGGTTGGCCAAATGCAAAGCAAATAAGTGCCTTAACTTCTGTAGTATTTTCTCTATTATGCTCAACAGGCTCAATTTTGATTCCACTTCCAACATTTCTCCTCAGTGTGGGGCCCTGTCCTCGAAAAGAGGCCTCAGTGGTCAGTTCTGAAAATTCACAGAGATGCGACTATTCTATTCTAGTTCCTTCAGAACTTCCCGGATCCTCATGCAACAATCTGGTATCAACCTTCCCAGTCACCTGCTGTTCTTCACTGGCCTACGCTTCCTTTCCCAGAGGCAGTTGGGGCTCTGAGTATGGAAACCTTGCAATTGCTTTTGATGTAAATGCTGCCACGACTTTTTGGTTTTGCTATCTACTTTCCCTGTCTTTTTAAAGAGAAAATTCAAAGACAGAGAAAAAGCCTTGTCGGCATTGCTGCTGTTGCTGCCATCTTCTGAGATTTTAGAGTATATTTTCAAAACTCCTCAGCATTTTTCTACAGATAAATGTCTTGGACAAAACGTCTTTCACAACCTTACATTTTCAGGACTAAAATAGGAGAAATAGGAAAATGGACCCACTTTGTTTACTTACCTCAAAAACCCGGTAAAAGGTGAGTCTTAAATTAAAATTAGTCCACACGACCACAAAAAATGCATTCAGTGAGATGGAAGTAATCATAGTGATCTTAAAAAAACGACTCATTAGAAATCTCCTCACATATGCCTGAAACTCAGCATCTCTCCTCCTGTCAAAAAGTTGAATGAGAGGTCTTATTACAACAAAATTGGGTCTCTAAGCAGTGCATGTTTTAAAATTAGGATGTGCTTCCCCCTTCTTGTAAATATGAACTTTGAAACTGCAATACAAGGTCAAAGAGATGGAACAGGTATGAGGCACTTGCCTTGCAAGCAGCCAACCCAGGTTCAATCCCAAGGACTGGTTTCTCCAGCCCCCCAAAGTCCCAACATCAGTGATCCTTGAGTACAGAGCTAGGAGTAAGATGTGAGCAAAATGGTGTGGCCCTCCCCAAAAGAATTAACTCTTAAAAACTGCAATGCACTGCTGGCTGAATGATCAATGAGATGTGTATAATCATCACTGCAGATATGTTCCCATCAGTGACTCGGTTTCTTTTCCACAGACCTCTGAAAAGGGGCTATAGCTCCTACTCCAGTAAAAGAAATCATCATCCACATTTACTTAGTTAACAAATTGTTGAGTGACTACTATTCAACCCACTCATTTACTCTTTCAACAGTTTGTACTACAAGTTAGGTAATACAGTCTGTACCAGGGATAGAATGGAAGTATAACTAATATTCTCCATCTAGTCGAGGAAATTGATCATCAAATAATCACCCATGCAAGCACTTAAGGTTAATAATGAAATATTGAAAGCCCCATAAAAAGATGGAAACACAACTGAATCATGGGAAAAACACTAATGGCAATACTTTCCCCAAATAATCAGTACTACTGCTAATCAGAAAGGTGTGAAGTAAGTAAACCCATTATTTTTGCTTGTAAAATTAGACTTAAACACTGTGATATTTAACAAATTAGAATGTGAAATATGAATACTAACATTTAATATTCGGTAATTCTGGCAAAAGAATAGTAAGATGGAGTTTCTAATTAACTACCAAGGGAATATAAATTGACAGATTTTTTTTCTGATTAACTTTAGAACTGTCACCGTTCTTTGACTCATGAAATTTACCCTCAAAGAGTATAATATGCAGGCTGGAGAAATAGTACAGTGGGGAGGGTATTTGCCTTGCACAAGGCTGACCCTGGTTCAACCCGAGCATCCAATGTGGTCCTCTAAGCACTGCCAGGAGTAATTCCTGAGTGCAGAGTCAGGGGTAATCCCTGAGTATCACCACTGTGGCCCAAGGACCAAAAAATAATAATAAAAAAAGAATATAATTTGAGGGCCAGAAGATAATACAGTGGATAGGGCTCTCACCTTGCACATAGTCAAACAAGGTTCAATCCCTGGCAATATATATGGTCCCCTGAGCATCACCAGGAGTGAATCCTGAGCACTGATGGATATGACCACAAAGCAAAACAAATACAAAATACAAAAATGCAATCTGATACGCAAATAATGGGCAGTAGTAAAATAGGTTTACACAAAATTATTCACAGAGAACTTACAATTAAAACGCCTACGTACTCGTTAAATTATGGTATACCCATTTCGTGGGATATCATGCAAATAGCAAATATCTACAAGTATTTATTAATTAGAAAAATATTGTCAGTGATGTGGCACAGAATTAGAGCATTTACCTTACATGTGTGAGGTTCTGGGTTTAATCTCTAGCATTAAAAATAAACAACAACAGGGGGTATGGTGCCGCCAGCAGGTCAATCTATACCTGTGAGGCGAGTGCATCAGCAGCCTGATGGTTCATCAGACTTTCAGATACCCCAAAATTGCTGCTGTGCCTTTGGCCAGACCCCAAAAACTTGGCGCAAAGTTTACCAAGAAAGTAAACGGCCAAAAGTTAGGTATGTGGGAGACACACCCACAAACGACCTCCGGTTCAGCTATATAATTGGAGGCATGGCCTCTCTGGTTCCTGATCAAACTGTTTAATGGTCATGATCCCAGAGACTTAGAAACGAATCTCGGAACCCAAAGACTTTTGGCAGAAATGCATCCTGTTCCTGCAGTAGGTTACTGGCACTGGGCCACCCCAGGTGGGAATAGGTTTCGTGCCTTGGCCTGTTCCCCCTGGCGGCCCGGTGACCACCATCCTCCAGAAGCCACAGGACAGTCATGTTTGGGCCTGCAGTGACAAGACACGCGGGTCTCACCAGATGGGGGTGGAACCGGCCCTTTCCTCCCCATCCCAAAAAGACCCCGAGTTGCCGCCTACAAATGGCCTCTCTGGCTCCTGATCAAGTAGATTAATGGCCATGATCCCAGAGACTCAGGAACAAATCTCGAAACCCAGTGGCTTTTGGCAGAAATGCATCTGGACCACAGACAAGGTGGCCGCCACCTCAGAGCTTATAGGAAAGCCAGGTATGAGCCAGCGGTGATGGGGCAACTGCAGTCTCATGGGAAGGGGGCGGTACCAGCTCGTCCTTCACACCCTACCAAGGTCACGAATTGCCCCCCCACGAGTGGCTCTCCGGCATGGCCATGGCTCCAGAGGCAAAAGGACTTAATCCAGAGCCCAGCAGCTTGCGGCAGAAAACTGAATGGACCATGCATTAAACTACGGCGCCATGCCTCCCTGGGAGGGAAAGGGTGTTGCTCCCTTCCACCTTTCCCTTCCCCCCCTGCCCCCCGGGATCAAGGTGGCTGCCACCTCAGAGCTTATTGGAAAGCCAGGTATGAGCCGGCGGTGACGGGGCAACTGCAGTCTCATGGGAAGAGGAACGGTACCAGCTTGTCCTTCACGCCCTACCGAGGTCACGAGCAGCTCTCCCACATGGTCATGGCTCCAGAGGCAAAAGGAATTAGTCCAGAGCCCAACAGCTTGCAGCAGAAAAGTAAATAGATCATGTGTTAAACTATAGCACCATGCCTCCGTGGGAGGGAAAGGGTGTTGCTCTCTGCTGCCTTCCTCCCCCCCCACCCCCCCCCCACCCCAGCAGCAAGGTGGCCGCCACCTCAGAGCTTATAGAAAAGCCAGGTATGAGCCGGTGGTCGACAGGGCAACTGCAGTCTCATGGGAAGGGGGGCAGTACCGGCTCATCCTTCATGCCCTACCGAGGTCACGAATTGTCCCGCACGAGTGGCTCTCCAGCACAGTCATAACACCAGATGCACAGAAACCAATCTCGTAATTATCTGGCTCTTTGCAGAAATCCAAAATCATTATATGATTCTCATAACCAGCTATAGAAAACAAAGTATTTCACAATGCCTTCTCAGCAATTCTGATTGTGAGGGGGTGGAATTCTAAACAATAATGGTGCATCTTTTGTCAAAATAATGAATTTAATCAATGTAGAGAAGAGTTAAGTAGAAATCATCTGCCTCACAGGCATTGGGAGGGGTGAGGGGGGTATATTGGGGTTCTTGGTGTTGAAAAATGAGTACTGGTGAAGGGAAAGGTGGTTGATCATTGTATGACCGAGACTTAAGCCTGAAAGCTTTGTAACTTTTCCCACAATGATTCAATAAATAAATATAAGGAAAAAAAGCCAAACAATAATAAAAGCCCCCAAACCTCCCCAAATCTTTTAGCTCTCAGAACATGAAACAAGGGACTGGAGTGATAGCACAGCGGGTAGGGCGTTTGCTTGTACACGGCTGACCTGGGTTTGATCCCCAGCATCCCATATGGTCCCCTGAGCACAGCCAGGAGTAGTTTCTGAGTGCATGAACCAGGGGTAACCCCTGAGCATCACCGGGTGTGACCCCCCCCCAAAAAAGAACATGAAACAAGAAACAGAATCCTCTTTAAAATGACCTTGATTGTGGGCTGGTGATAGCACAGCGGGGAGGTGTGCTGCGTGTTGCCTTACACACAGTTGGCCTGGGTTAGCTCCTCAGCACCACATATGGTCCCCCAAACCCTACCAGGTATAATCCCTGAGTGCAGAACAATGGGTACATGCTGAGCACCACTGTTGAGGGCACTTCCCAACAAAAAATTTTTTAAATTTAAATAGTAAAATTAACTTAATTGTGAAAAAAATGGGTAGAACAACACAACAACAACAAAAAACAGCAGGAAATATGCCAAAATATTGACAGTGCCTATAGATGGTGAGATTATTATATAAGTGGCTACTGTTCCTCTTTGTATTTACTTTTGATATTCAATTTTTTTTTGGAATATTACTTTTCCCTATATGTGACAAATGAATTCTCAGAAAAGAAAAAATAAGTAACGGAGCCTGAAATATGGTCCATATGGCAAAGCATCTGCCTTGCGTGTCTGAGGCCCTGGTACAACTTCTGGCACTGCATCACCCACAGGTACCATCAAGGACATCCTCTGGCAACCCCAACCACCCACCACAACAATAAAAGAAAATAAATCTGAGACCAGTGACAGCACTGTGGGTGAGGGTGCTTGTCTTCATGTGGACAACCTGCGTTTGACCCTCAGCACCCCATAATGATTCTTAGCCCACCAGGATTGATTCCTGGATGCAGAGTCAGAAAAACCCCCGAGCACTAGTAGGTCTGGCCCAACACAAACAAAAATCAAACAAAAAGGAATGTATTAAAGTATAAAAATACAATGTATATACTTTTTAATTAGACAAAACCAAACGGGAGACTAAGATGATGTCCTCTACTATCCAAAGGGAAGGGGGGGGGGGGGTGAAGCTTTTAAGTTAACCTAACTTCAAGAAGGGAAAAAATGTGGTCAAACTGTCTTCAGTCTACAGGTCAAACAACAGCAGAACCAAACGTATATCTTGCCCAGCCAATCACGGGACTAACGTCAAACAAACTAAATGCTAAATGTTTGGCTGATCTTTCACCAACCTCATCAATCAAAGGAACTAAGTATTGAGAACATGCACCTCCGTGGGACACCCCGCACCCACACCGACATTTAGACATTTCTTAATGAGAAATAGAAACAGAATATTTACTGAAACTTCCAGGATTTCCCACAGCATGTTATTGTTATATTATCAGCCACAGCCTCACGACTGGATCTCTCTTTCATCTGGCGATGAGGCGATTCAGACATTATCCAAATTTCTAATTTGTCTCTTGACTTTATTCCTAGCTTTGAATATCCAACAGAAAATGTCTGCTTTGGGATTTCCTTGGACTCCAAATTCTGAGAGGTCACAGAAGAGGCTCCAAAAAAGGAATCCCGGCTTTCAGAGTTCACTCAAGTATTCTAGAGCTCCCCAGCTGTTCCAGCTGTAAATCCTCTCTTCCCAAGGAGACTCCCCACAACAGAGAAGCAAAAGTATTAGGAGAGACCCACAGCTGTGAAGCTGAGACACCAGAGGCAACCATACAAAAGCCATTAATCTAACAATATGTTATGATACATTGTGACCACACTAGTAGGCCAGACCTACTAGTGCTCAGGGGTTCATCCTAGCTCTGCACTGAGGAATCACTCCTGGCGGGTTAGGAACCATATGGGGTGCCAGGGGGTCGAATGTAGGTTGGCCACATGAAGACAAGAGCCCCACCCACAGTGCTGTCACTCCAGCCTCAGATTTATTTTCTTTTATTGTTTTAGGGAGGTCCCTCCCAGTGATGGTTGCGGTTGTCAGGTGATGTCCCTGATGGTACCTGTGGGTGATTCAGTGCCAGAAATTGTACCAGGGCTTCAGACATGCAACTAGACAAAAGCCTTTATTTTAACAAAGTGTTAGAATAAAGAATTGGGGAGGGGGACCAGGAGGAACATTAAGATATTCTCACTTTCTCCTAATCCCTTCCCTTTCTGGGAAGATCATTAACAGAGAGCTCAGAGTAGCCCTTGTGTTGTATTAAAAGGGTTAAGTTGGTCAATTTCCTGGAAACCTAAGTTCATAGGGCACAAGGAAAGAGTAAATCACCTCACTCATCTTTAGGGTATAGCAGGTTCTTGAATATAAGGTAGTACCGTATATTGCTCTTTTGACATGGATTAGAAAAGAGGTATCTGAGGCTTTTTCTTTCTTTCTTTCTTTCTTTCTTTCTTTCTTTCTTTCTTTCTTTTTGGTGGGGCAGGGAGCAGGGGTGAGCAGGGCAGGGGGCTATACCTAGTGATGCTCAGGGTTTACTCCTGGTAGGGCCCAGGGAGCATATGTGGTGCCAGGGAGCAAATCCAGGTTAGCCATGTGCATCACCCATATTAAGGCAAGTATATTACCTATTATCTCTCCGGCCCCAAAGGGACTGACATTGTTCTCAAAATAAACAAATATTAACATTACTTAAAGATCTGGCTTCGTTAAACAGTGTTCATTTAGAGTTGACATTTCTAAATACCTAGCAATGTGGACATTAAGGGAGAACTTCAGGACCTGGTGTTCTAAAACAAGTATATATAATCATTCTCAGCAGGAAAACACTCTTACGGGTGTTGAATATGCTTATTTTGAACACCTAGTTTACTAATTTCCTCTCCTTAAAATAATTTATCAGGGGCCAGAGATATGGCTCAATGGACTGGATCACAGGCTTTGCACACAGGAGAACCAAGTTTAATCCCCAGAACCTCATGGCTGCCCATGAACCACCAGGAGTACAACACTGGGTGTAGTCTCTGAGCACTTCGAAGTGTGACCCCCCCAAACAAAAAAACAAACAAGGTCACGGTCCTCCCATTGTTCATCAATTTGCTCGAGCGGGCCCAGTAACGTCTCCAACATGAGACTTATTGTTACTGTGTTTGGCATATCGAGTACGTCACAGGTAGTGCCAGGCTCTGCCCTGCGGGCGAGATACTCTCAGAAGCTTGCCAGGCTCTCCAAGAGGGGTGGAGGAATCGAACTCGAGTCGGCCATGTTGGCTGCGTGCAAGGCAAATGCCCTACCGCTGTGCTATGTGCTATCGCTCCAGTCCAAAAAAAAACAAAACAAAACAAAACAAAAAAACAAAATCACAATCAAAATGTTTTAAGGAACTAGGGATATGACTCAAGTAGTTGAGTACCTGTCTTATACATACAAAGTCCTGGGTTTCATCCCCAGCACCACTGGGGGTTATGAGAGCCCCTAAACATCATTGTGGTTCTCACAATGATGAAGCAATTGTTTCATTTAAAAATAAGAAAGTTATAAAATAATCTTGATTACTGTTCTCAAGAATCAAATGTAGCAATGTAGCCTCATCTTCTCCCTCAAGCATCAGCTCCTGCCACACCACCTACTTTCTCCTTTGCTCAGACATCCTAAAGTCAGCTGGGTTCCTGTCCATCACAGCAGCCTTCCTGGATCGTCTACTCAGAGAACATGGATCAGTCCTCCCCCCCTGTGGCCACCTCCCCCAAAACATCAGTGTGCTTCACCTCAGGGCAGAAAAAAGGCCCTTGGGAAGTATGGACATCAGGAATATTAATGAATGGCAAATTCAAGAAGCATGGCCAGTGCGATTTTATCTTTGAGAACCAATGGTAGAGTTTTATGCCTTTCCTCTTTAAGCTCCCAAACATGGGGCACGAGATAGCTCCGTGACAAAGCACCTGCATTGCAGTCCGTGAGGTCACATGTGAGACCTTGGCAGCACTGACATTAGTGATCCCCAATGCCAAGTGTGCACAGGGCCAGAAAGCCAGTTAAGTGGGGAAGGTACTTGCCTTGCACATGGCTGACTGAGGATTGATCCCTGGCACCCCGGAAGGTTCCCCAAGCCCTGCCATGAGTGATCCCTCTGTACAGAGCCAAGGGTAAGCCACAAGCACTGCTGGGCATGGCCAAAAGAAAAAGGCAATTAAAGTGTGTGACCTTCAGTGACTGCCACAACCAGAATTAGGTGCTGAAAGGAGGTATAGTGACATGCATGACACCCTGTCAGTGCCAGTACTGTAAATTACGATGTCTAAGGGGGCGGGGGGGGGGGGAGGAAAAAAGAAAAAGAAAAAAATAACTGCCATAGAGGCAGGCTAGGGGGCGGGAGGAGTGTGGTGGTGCAGGAGGGAAACTGGGGACATTGGTAGAGGGAAGTGGACTGGTGTTAAAACATTGTATGTCTGAAATTCAATCATGAATAACTTTGTAACTAATTCACGGTGATTCAATAAAAAATTTTTTTTAAATAAAAGAAGTATGTGCAAGCTTCAGTCAAGTGTGTTAGCGCCACAACCCAATTTGTGTAACACCTGGTCCCTGCAGCAGCAGAAACAGTAAAGGGTCAGGATAGAGAGAGGAGAGAGAGGGGAGAGGGAGGGGATGGAGGGGAAGGAGAGCGGGGATGGGGGGGGGGGAGTGGGGAAAGAGAGGGAAACTACAAATTACCACATAAAAGAAACCATTTCCTTGACCACTACCATATAGAATCTTTGATTCTCTGTAATAAAGTGTGAGGTTCAGCAAATGCAACACCCCTTTACATGGCTTTACATGGGCTTCATGTCAAATCCTCTTGTGCATGCTAATTAATAGCTGCGTTCTCGGGTCTTCACCATTGTAATTTGGGGCCATATTTGGCTCCCTCAACCGTGCTATTGTGGTATATGTTAACACAGCCAACTGGTTTAGTCTCTCAGACATAACATTTAAAATAGGGGGAACTGTTTCCATTCAGGATATAATAAAATAAGTTAAATGGTACCACAAGGAAGCATACAAATGATAGAGTATCCTATATGGATTCTGCAAGACACCTGACCCCGATTTTACAGTAAGTCGATGACATGGGACAGGGAGGAACTGAGGGAAAGCTCGACTGCTCCAGCAGGACAGATGCAGAGACACAACAGGCAGATGCGATGCAGAGAGCTAGTTTGGATTCTGATTAGATAAAAATTACTGTCCAAAGACACTCTTGTGCGTTTTGGCTTTGATTTTCGGAGGGCTTCCCTGGCACTACTGGAAACACCAAACTATTACATCCAGTGCTGCATGAGAGACCAGGCAAATCTGGGTTCAGAGCTGGGACACTGAGCCTGTTAGGTATGTCCTCTTGTCCTCTGAGTTCCTTCCCCAACCCCCCCAACAAATTATTTTGGGGAGAGATCTCCAAAGCAGTGCTCAGAGGGCTCTGGAGGTCACTTCCAGTGATATTCAACCATCAGGGACAAGGAAGTTGACTATTAGTGTTCAAGTACTTGGTGCTTGGTACTGCTCAGACGGTACCTCAGGCTTAGGGACCACCAAGGCCTTTCCTGGCAGTGCTCGGGGGGCCTTTAGGGCTACACCTGGTAATGCTCTGGGGCTATGTGGCACCAGGGATCCAATTTTGTGTGCACTTGCCTGATCTCCCCAACTCCCGAAGACATTTGTAACCTTCAGGGCAATTCTGTAAGATGAATCCAAGGAATCATGGTTTGCTTTGTTAGCTATGAAAATAACATTCTAGTGTAGCACTGTAGCACTGTCCTCCCATTGTTCATTGATTTGCTCGAGCAGGCACCAGTAACGTCTCCATTGTGAGACTTGTCACTGTTTTTGGTATATCAAATACGCCACGGGGAGCTTGCCAGGCTCTACTGTGCAGGCAGGATATTCTCGGTAGCTTGCTAGGCTCTCTGAGAGGGATGGAGGAATCAAACCCGGGTTGGCCTCGGGCAAGGCAAACGCCCTACCCACTGTGCTATCGCTCATTCTAGTGTAAGGAAGAAAATGATCATATTTTCTAGAGATTTTTGCTGATGAATGTTGGGCTGAAATGGATTGGTTTTTAAATACGTTAAGCAGAGAAAAATTAAGCCAAAGGCAGGGTCTGAGAAGATAGCACTGTGTGTGCCCGGGAGAGTTACTCCTGTTAGCAAATGAGTTATGAGGCTGTGCAGGGGCCTGCAAGCCTCCGGGGCTCAGGAGTGCCCGAGGAAGGACCTCGGTTGCCAGAGTTCCAGGCCCCGCAGAGCTGTTTTGCCACAGTGGGCAAGAAGATCCTGGAGGGCCCTTCAGAGACAGACAGAGCTGCCTGAGATAAGAGCCAGGTCCCAGGTACCACCGTCATCTGATGCTTACGGTGGCTGACATCTCAGAGCCCAAAGTCTTTGGGGCTAAGGGCCAGAAAGATAGTACAGTAGGTAAGGCACTTGCCTTGAATATAGTCAAGCTGGGTTCGGTCTTCAGCATCCCATAGGGTCCCCAAAGTCCTGCCATGAATAATCCCTGAACAAAGAGCCAGGGGTCAGCCCTGAACACCACTGGGTATGGTCCCCCCAAAAATGAAAACAAAAGAGATACCCCCAAACAAAAATCCACAAGATATTCATGATGCGGGAGAAACAAGATTACATGAGACAACTGGTGCAAAATCTTAAATCTATTCAATCTCTCTGATGAGGATATAAGGATTCAGGGTATATTTGTTCTATTATTAAATATGTTTAGATATTTTTTCATATTTAATAAATTTATGGCCCTTGAATTAATATTCACATATTCTTTCAATATACATTCTACTCTCATTAAGAACTTTCTTTATATTCAATGTACTTAGAACTGTAAATTCCTATGTCATGATTCTAATTAGCACAAGGCTGCATGTGAATAAAAGACTAATCATCTACCTTTCATATATAATTTAAATATGTTTCTAATATGCAAATATATCATAAGCAATTATAATATTATTAGAAAGATCAGTACCTTCCTGATGTCCTCTATGGGCATTGATACTGCACTTTTAGGGGCCTGGGGACATTCATACTGCCCCACCTTGCTTAAAGTCAAGGATGAAAGAAGTCTTCCCTTCAACTCCCTGCTGAAAAAAAGATATGGCTCACCCAAATTTTTGTTTTTGTTTTGGGGCTACACCTGGCTGTCCTCAAGGCTTACTTCTGGCTCTGATCTCAGCAGTCACACTGGGGGAACAAATGGGGGTCCAGCATTAAATCTAGGTCAACCATGTGTAACCCTACCTGCTGTACTGTCTCTTTAGCCCCTCACCCACCCAACTTTTTTTTTCTTTTTAAATAATGTTGGAGTACTATTATATGTTCAGCCACTGATTAAGCTGATTGAATTGGCCATGAACTCATTAAAACCTTTTTTTAAAATTGTATCATCTTGAGATAGAGTTACAAAGCTTCCATGTTTGAGATTCAGCCATACAATGATGGAACACCCATCCCTCACCAGTGCACATTTCCCATCACCCACATCCCAGTCCTTACTTTGCCTCTATGGCAGACAATTTCCCCAATACTCTCTTCTAATTTGGGGCATTATGCTTTGCTCAAAATGTCCCACCACCATTCAAGCTTACCTGCCAGGGGCAGAGGCTAGATCATTTATTTTTCCATTGCTCATTTTGAATATCATAAGAGCTCACATGGCCGTGACTGTAAATGTAAATTTCTAGATTATAAATGGTTGGGTTCCAAAGACATCTCTATATGGCACTAATCCATTTTGGGATTCAATTGGGAGTCTCTGGGCCAGGGCTGTTTTACCCAATTCTTTTTCACTTTTTTAATCCAACTAATACTTAACTATAAACAGCAGCTAAAATCCAATTCAACTTTAGCTTTATAAGTATCACATACAGTTAAAATTGTTTATCTTCAGAGTTCATCATTTTTTTCTACCTTAAAACAAACAAACAAAACACTGTCCTCCCGTTGTTCATCGATTTGCTCGAGTGGACCCAGTAATGTCTCCACTTTGAGACTTATTGTTACTGTGTTTGGCATATTGAACACGTCATGGGTAGGTTGCCAGGCTTTGCGATGCAGGCAAGATACTCTCAGTAGCTTGTCAGGCTCTCTGAGAGGGGCAGAGGAATCGAACCCGGCATGGCTGGGCTGGCTGTGCACAAGGCAAATGCCCTACCGCTGTGCTATCGCTCCAGCCCTTTTTACCTTACAATTATATATTTTTATTTTTTTTTTTGCTTTTTGGGTCACACCCGGCGATGCACAGGGGTTACTCCTGGCTCTGCACTCAGAAATCACTCCTGGAGGTGCTCAGGGGACCATATGGGATGCTGGGAATCGAACCTGGGTCGGCTACATGCAAGGCAAACGCCCTACCTGCTGTGCTATTTCTCCAGCCCTATATATTTTTAAAGTCACCATAATCAGATGAACCTCTGGATTATAAAATGCTTGAATACTACTCCGTTCCAATTTCTGGCCTATAAGAATGCTATTTCTCCTTTTCAATATTATTAATATAATAACTTAGGTTAATCTGCCTTATACATGTGACTGGATATAATGAAAATTACTTCAGACTCAAGTTTAAATTATCTTGTATTTGAAGCATGGGTCTTACAAAATGTGGTATAAAGGTGAATTAAATTTAAAGGCTTAAATGACTCCAAAATACACCCCAGCTACAATATGTATATGATTTTACATGCATTTTGGAATAAATCACACAGAGGCAGCTACTTTTTCAATAAAATTGGCCAGTTTCACATCTCGTTTGGTCAGTCCACCAGAATCATGTGAGGTGAGCGTTATCTGCACCTGCAAAAGAGAGAAGCAACTTTTAAAACCTTAGCAGCAATTTGAGGTAATCTCTTTTGGCAGTTCAGAAATGAATCCACGGGCCCTAGAGATAGTCCAGGAGGTAAGGCATTTGCCTTGCATGTAGTTGACCTCAGTCTGAACCACAGGCACTGAGGGTGGTTGTGTGAGCACCTCAAAGAGTGACCCCTGAGCACAAAGCCAGGGACAGCCCAACCAACTCCCACTACCACTGAAAACAAAAACAAAAAAGGCAGAAAAAATGAAATGAAATCAATCCACTGTTCAACATTCACATCTACAAAATGGGGAAGAGTAAATGTTTTAGAAAGAATTACCTTATGAGTAAGCCCAAACTTTCTAAGAGCCAATTAGCTGAAACTCCAGGGTCAATTTAAGCTTCAGCCTGGGTCCTGGTAGCTGCCCAGGAATAAACAGGTTCTCCCAGGGCTCGAGAGAATTCAGTGGAACAGAGTACATACTCTGCAGCCATAAGGCATGAGTCCTGGGTTTGATCCCTGCAGCTGCAGGTCCCCTTAGCACTGCTGAGAGCAACACTCTGATCGCCAAGCTGGGAGTAGCCCCTGAGCACCTCTGGATAAAGCCCCAAGATGAAAAATAAAACAAAATGATTTTTTTTTCACATTAAAAACTATTCAGTTGGGGCTGGAGCGATAGCACAGCGGGTAGAGCGTTTGGCCTTGCAGGCGGCCAACCCGGGTTCGATTCCCAGAATCTCATATGGTACCCTGAGCACCACCAGGAGTAATTCCTGAGTGCAGAGCCGGGAGTAACCCCTGTGCTTCGCTGGGTGTGACCCAAAAAGCAATAAGTAAATAAATAAATAAATAAAAATAAAAAAGCTATTCAGTTGCCAGAATCCTAAATTGTACCTTAAGAAAAAAAAGAGAGAGGGTCGGAGAGATAGTACAACAGATAGGGCATTTGCCTTCCACACAGCCGACCTGGGTTTGATCCCCGACATCTCAAATGGTCCTCCAAGCACCACCAGGTGTAATTCCTGAGTGCAGAGCCAGGAGTAACCCCTGAGCATCGCTGGGTGTGGCTCAAAGAGAGAGAGAGAGAGAGAGAGAGAGGGAGGGAGAGAGAGAGAGAGAGCTGAAAACCTAGAGGTTTTCACAGTAACTGAGAGAAAAAGACAGGGGGGAGAGAGAGTAGAGGGAGAGAAAAAGAGAGACAGGGAGGACCCAATATTCCATGAACTATTTTTAGGCCATTGAGGAAACCAAGCTATCAAATGTCTATCTTGGCAAAGATGCTTTTAAATGTCCATTTCCCAAAAACTGGGGTGGGGTGCAGTGGAAGAACAGATCAACAGCCCACTGCTTCTTGTCAAATCAATTTAAAAGGCAAAAGCAGGGTCAGAGAGGCAGTTCAACATGTTCAATCCCCGGCACCACGCAGCCCCGTCACCAGCAGCCACAGACCTGGCAGGAGCCCCGAGCACTGCCAGATGTGCACAGAAAACAAAAAAAAAAAGGAAAATTATGGCAAAATCAGGAAATCAGAAAAGAAGATTTTAAATCCTAGTAGTTGCATGCACTCAGTTATTCACAGAGGACTTTCAAAGCAAAATCAAACCCCACCAAAATCTGGATGACAAGACAGTTCAAATGAGTGACTTAAAGACAGGACTTTGTGGGGGCAGGGGTGCTTGAGTCTTCTCACCGAGCTCCCTTGAAATGACTTACTGGAGTCCTTTCAGTCTGTTATTTGTCTTAAGGTCAATTAATTCCCACTGAGGTTAGAAAACGGAACTGCTATTATTAAAAGCTCAGTTCTTGAAAAAAATTATTTCAATTAAATAAATAAGGCCATATCTGCCTTATTTACTACCATGTACTTCAATAATTTGCCTTAAAGCGGGTTTAAAATGTATCCTCATGGCTAGCATTCAAGTTTAAGTGAAGCTTAATTTAGCCCAACTTTCTCAATTTAGTTTCAGTAGATAACAAGCATGAAAATAGAGAGCTTAGTCACCACGCTCTGGAGCTGATCTGAAAATTTGTTACTAATTTGCAATACTGTAACACAGGGATTCTGGCGAGGGAAAGAGAATACTTGCCAAAGCACACTGACACTTAGTTGCACAGGATGGCAAAGAAAGGAGGAAAGAAGGTTGTTTCTCCATAATTTAAATTATACTGAAATAAGGCAAATTAGTTACCTTGTTGTACACATTGAACCACTCTGGGTGATGATTCATCTTCTCGGCTTGAAGGGCAATTCGGGACATAAAGCCAAATGCCTGAAAAAGTCAAAAGTGATTAGTTGACACTGCCCTCTGCCCTGGACCTTGGGGAGACACCAGAGCAAGCCAACTCGATAAAGACATGGCTAGGATACTCCCGGGAAGCCTGCAGAAATCAAACGGAAAGGGACTGCTCTCTGCAGAGCCAAGGTGACACCGTAACAGGGCTGTGACCTGCTGCTCGATGGTGAAAACAATCAGGCTCAAATAAACAAACCAGGAAATTGGTCTCACCCAGTGACCTGTCTGGACTGTTTAATTGTCCTCAAGACGAGACTCTTGAAAATTGCACGGGAATAATTTCCCTTCAACCCAGTGCCCTGGATTTTACTACCTGGCCTCCAAGCGGAGGAACCACTTTTGTCAGAACTCAGCTCCTTTTGATTTTAGCGACGAGGGCGCTAAGATAGCAACTGGTATGCTCTGGGAAAATGTCTTACGGGTTTGTGTCAGGAAAAGGTACCGGCAGAAATAAACAGCTCCTTCCATCGTCCAGGCAGAACAGGAGGGAAGGAAGGACTTGTGCCTTTTGGGGTCTTCCTGCTACTGGTTTGGACGGCCCCAACTCAGTGCAGAGGCCTGCGACATAGCAGCAGTGAAAGTGTGGCCCTATAAAGTTGTTTCTTCCTATCACAGGAAAAAAAGAGCAAACCTACATTTGCTAGACAGAAGGCAAACATCCTAAAAAGGAAAAAAAAATTCATGTATTTTGTTTGCTTTCAATTTTTTATGAGGGTAATTACAAACAACAGGAGTCTGTCTATTGTGTCCAGAAGGCAGAAATACTTGGTAAGACTCTAAGTACATTTATATGAAAGTTAGATTGAATTCACAGGAAATTACATCCACATAAATAAATAAATATTTGGCTTCAAAATTCTTTCTTTCTGATTTTTTTTGTTTTGTTTTGGCGCTCAGGGTTTACTCCTGGCTCCTGCTTAGGGATCAAAACTAGCAGTGCTCAGGGGACCACCTGGGGTGCTGAGGATCGAACCTGGGTTGGCCGCATGCAAGGCAAGTGCCCTACCCACTGTACTATCTCTCTGACCCCCAGAGAGAAATTACCTAGCAAAACCAACATGATGTCAATCAGATCATGTTTTTTAGATCAACAAATGACATCAAATCACATTTTCAAGTTAGCAGTGAAAAATATAGAACGTCCCATTTCATTTTTTACAAATACACTTATATTTATTATTCAACAATAATTCCATTAATTTTCTTTACAATGACACTGAAAAAAACATTTTAATTAACTATCAACTTTAATGTTTTCACCTGTTTGTTTGGGGACCATGCCCAGCAGTACTCAGGAAATGAGGCAGTGGCTGGGATGGCACCTGGACCTCCTCCAGATAGATACTCAGCCCGCTGATCCATCTCTTTGGCCCTATTTATTTTTCAGATGTGTTTAGATTGAGGTCTTGTAGCTCACAACAGTTTCTGTGTTACTGCTTTATCTCTGCAATGCTGCTTCACCACTCCTGCCACTCTCTGCCGCTGCCCCAACATCCCTTGTCCCTCCCTGGCTTTGGCACCACGGCCCACTCTCCTGCTGGCATGATCTCTGTTGGGGCCTGTTTTAGCTCTTCTTTGCTTCTTTATATTCACAGGTGAACAAGATCATTCAAACGATTGTCTTGTTCCTTCTGAATCAGTTCACTTAGAATAATAGCTTACAATTCATCCAGGTTGCAGCTAACTGCATGGTTTCAGAAGATTCCGTTTCAAACAATACTCTGCCACCTGAATAAAGTTTCTAACTCAGAAGACATTTTATTAGGGATAGAGTTTTCCATTTTGACATTAAGGTCTAATGGTTTCTCCTGTTAGAAGAAGGAAGATCAAGCAAAAAAATCCTACAGAATCATCAGTGAAAACAACAGTCACTCTCCACTGCTGCTTGTTTTGTAATCTAAGTATTTGGAAGAGGGAAGGTCATGGTTTTGGAGCCAGATGCACCGGTGCTAAGGGTCTACTTGTCTCTGAGCTTGGAGGATCATAGCTGGTATCAGGATTCAAACCAGGGTTGGAGGGATACATGTTAATCCTGTTTTAGTCCCTTATCTTGTATGTTATAATTGAATCTCTAGATTATATGAAGGGAAGACATCAGTTAAGGGACCAAGGAGGTAGTACAGAGAGTAAGGCTATACTCTGATACTGCATATGGTCTTGAAGAGAAAGAGAAGGAAGAGAAAGAGAAGGAGGAAGACCAGGAGTACAAGAGGAGGAAGAGGCAAAGGAGGAGCAGTCACTGGGACCATAATTTCTTTGAGCTATGTTATCCTAACAGATGCAAGATTTGCCTAAAATCCCTTACTATTGCCCAAGAATAAAATAAATCAGGGCCAGAGTAATAGTATAGCAGGTAGGACAGCTTGCTTTGTGCTCAGCTGACCTAGATTTGATTCCTAGCATCCCATATGGTGCCCTGAAGTGATTCCTGAATGAAAAGCCAGGAGTAACCCCTGTGCACCCCCTTCAAAAACAAAGAAACTAAATCAGAGCATCTTTAACCACTAATATAAGCATAGTAGCAAAATGTATTCCATTATAGATATGATATCCTAAAAGGAATGCTGATAAAATAAAAACTATCATAAGTTTATCCAAATTGAAAAGGAAAAGGTCTCATTAAAAAAATCCTCCCGCAACATAAAGTAACAAAATAGGAGACTAACACCCAGGAATAGCCGAGATTAGTACCAGGAGGTTTACTCCATGGCTTGGAGGCCAGAAGCACATGCTAGGAGAAAAGGCAGCTCAGATAGAGAAAGGAGCACCAAATAAAGGGTGTTGGGAGCATCCTTCCAGGATGGGAGAAGCATGCTGAAAGTAGACTATAGACCGAACATGATTGCCACTCAATGCCTCTTTTGCAAACCACAACACCGAAAAGGAGAGAGAGAACAAAAGGGAATGTCCTGCCACAGAGGTAGGGTGGGATGAGGGGGATGGGGGGGTGGGAGGGATACTGGGATCCGTGGTGGTGGAGAATGGGCACTGGTGGAGGGATGGGTGTTCTATCATTGTATAACTGAAACCCAAGCACAAAAATTTTTAAGTCTACAACTGTACCCCATGGTGTTTCACTAATAAAAATTTAAAAAAAAAATCCTCCCCCCAAAAATTAAAAAAACTTCCAAATTTGTATTTTCCTTTCCAAATCTGTATAGCTTTACACAGTTCAACTGTTACCTAATATTTGTATCTATAAAGTATCAAAAATCCTGATAAACTCAAGCTTTTTTTTTCTTTTTGGGTCAACCTGGCGATGCACAGGGGTTACTCCTGGCTCTGCACTCAGGAGTTACTCCTGGCGGTGCTCAGGGGACCATATGGGATGCTGGGATGCTGGGAATTGAACCCGGTTCAGCTGCGTGCAAGGAAAATGCCCTATCCGCTGTGCTATCTCTCTAGCCCCCAACTCAAGCTTCTTAAACTTGAAGCTTGAAACTTGATCATGTACCATTTTGATTTTATTTTATTAAAGCACTGTGGTTTACAAAGTTATTCACAGTTGGGTTTTAAACATACAATACTGCATCACCATGTGAGTGGTGGGGGGAAATACTTAATCTGCATTGGCAGCAAAGAGATACTTCCATAATCCTCCCATATAACAGAGTCAATAAAAGGTAAAGGTAAAGGCCCTCCCGTTGATCGTCGATTTGCTCGAGCGGGCCCAGTAACGTCTCCATTGGAGACTTTGTTGTTACTGTGTAATACCAAAGTATTTATTTTTAAATCTGCTAGTTGAAAACCTTTAGAATATACATTCAAATCAAAGTACATTAAGTTATGCAAGGGAGTTAGATGAATGACCAACAGGTAAAAAGCAAAACTTCAATGGGGAATATTTTTTTTAATCTAGAATATAATAAAGACCTTCCACCTTTTTCCCTCTGGAAAGAAAGATGGCAGCCGCTTTGGAGCTTTGTCGAAAGCCAGGTATGAGACGGTCGTGATGGGGTGACTGAAACTTCATGGGAAGGGGGGCGTTCCCGGCTCGTCCTTCACGCCCTACCAAGGTTAGGAGTTGCCCCCCACAAGTGGCTCTCCGGCACGGCCATGGCTCCATAGCACAGAAACCAATCTCATAATTATCTGACTCTCAGTAGAAATACTTCCAGGCTTAATAAGTAAAATACCAGAAATCCAGATAAGTAAAATAAGTAAAATACCAGAAATACCAGCGGCCGCGCGACATCATTTGATTCTTGTAACCAGCTGTAGAAAACAAATTATTTCACAATGCCTTTTCAGCATGTCTGATTTGGGGGTGTAAACTCTAAATAATAATGGTGCATCTTTTGTCGAAACAATTAATCTAATCAAAGTAGATAGAGTGTTAACTAGAATTCATCTGCCTCACAGGCATTGGGAGGGTGGGGGGGGTTATTGGGGTTCTTGGTGGTGAAAAATAAGTACTGGTGAAGGGAATCACTTAATCACTTAACTTCCCGTTAGTCGTCGATTTGCTCGAGCGGGTGCCAGTAACGTCTCCATTTGTCCCTGTCATGTGCTAGTGTAGCCCAATGGCATCTGTTCGCTCCGGGAACATGAAGGGCCTCAAACCGATCATTCATGATCTTGACGAAGAAGTCTGACCATCTGGTAGGTGGGCGGCCACGTGGTCTTTTGACATCCCGTGGAATCCAGTCGGTAACAACTCTAGTCCAGCGGCCGTCTTTAAATCTCATTACGTGACCAGCCCATCTGATTTTCGACACCTTGGCAAATGAGACAGCGTCTCTGATTCTTGATCGTCAACGGATGTCAGAACTCCAGATTCTTTCTCTCATTTGAGTGAAACGTGATATTCTAAGCATAGCTCTTTCTATTCTTCTTTGGGAGACCTGAATAGCGTTCTCATCTTGTTTGCATAGGGCCCAGGTCTCTGAGGCATATGTTAATGCAGGAAGAACAGTGGAATCAAAGAGATGTGCCCGGAGCCGGAGGTTCTTTGTCCTCTTAGCTATTTCTTTGAC